CCCTTCTTCTCAAGGGCATATTTGTACTTTTCTCTCTATCTCAACATCACAAAGGTTATGTAAATGGAAATTTACCACCTACTCTTTTGTTACAACATGTAACTTTTTAAATAATCTATGTTTTGTAATCATCAAATCTGTAAGTCATAAGTTCATTTTTTTCAGCTTTACACAAAAAGTCTCTAAGGAGCAAAGTCTCTATTTTTGATATTACAGCATTTGAAAGATGATTTTTAACAAATAAAGTTTGCATTTTTAAAAAATCTCATTGTTGTCTTGATACTCAGCAGTTCAGCACATTTCATCTTTATTTACTTTGGAGATGGCTATATTTTTTCCTATTATTATCTATCTACTGCATTGTTGCTTGCTATATTTAGCTATTCAGGACATTGGCTAGCACTACATCTCTCAGTATTATAACCAGAACTTTTATTGTAAAATATATTTTATTTATTATAAAGTACCGATAGGTATTTATTATAAAATAGCAATAGTACTTAGACTTATATATGGCTTCACAGTGCCTTACCGCCTTCTCTAAGCGGTTTACAGAGTCAGCATATTGCCCCCCCCCCCAACAATCTGGGTCCACATTTTACTGACCTCGGAAGGATGGAAGGTTGAGTCGACCCTGAGCCAGGCAGGATTGAACTCCTGTTATGGGCAGAGTTAGCCTGCAGTACTCATTCTGCAGAGTTAGCCTGCAGTACTGCATGAGCCACGGTGGCACAGTGGTTAGAATGCAGTACTGCAGGCTACTTCTGCTGACTGCCAACTGTCTGCAATTTGGCAGTTCAAATCTCATCAGGCTCAAGGTTGACTCAGCCTTCCAGCCTTCCGAGGTGGGTAAAATGAGGACCCAGATTATTGGGGGCAATATGCTGACTCTGTAAACTGCTTAGAGAGGGCTGTAAAACACTGTAAAGTGGTACATAAATCTAAGTGCTTTTGCTATTGCTATTCTAACCAATGCTGCATCACCCTGCTCTTAATCCCTACTGTAGTACTTTCTTTCAAAAGGAACCAAAGAAGCCTGTAGGTTTAATTTCTATATTCTCCAGGTAAAAGAAATAGGTTACATGCAATGTGAAAGAACTTTGCTGGAGACCTGATAAGGCTGCTGACATTTAGGATACATGGCACTAGGCTTGATGGATATATAGTCAGAAGTTACCCTGCTAGTAATTTTAATTCTAGAGTTATTCAATCACCATAATGAAACAACAACAGTAATGATGAAAGGCTTTATATAACTTTGACAATGGCTGGCTTATGCTATAAGGACAGGGTCCTGCCTGATACAACATTTTGCCCTATCTCAGATTAGTGGTCAGTGATATTTTTTCAGATACAAAACAGTGATATACACTCTTATCTACTTTTGAAAATTCCATATATTCTAGAAATGGTAAGATGCATAGCAATACCCTGTTTCTCCAACAATACGGCCTCCCCCAATAGGAAGTCCCAGCATGTTTTATAGGCATGAAATGAAATTAAGCCCCTCCCCCCAAATTAAGGCCTATATTAAAACATGCGAAATGGGGGGGAAATGGCAGGGGGGCTTGCTGTTAGGAAGTACTTTTGTTGCACACCCAGATATGGTGCTGCCTGCATTGACCCTGATACAAAGTGCCCCACCAACATCAAGGTCAACATCCAAGCCGTCGCCGCCCGCCCTAAGATAGAAGGGGCGGGAATTAAATCACCCCCGAAAAGACGGCCTAGCCGCTTTTTTCAGGGCTCAAAAAAAAAAAAAAAAAAGACCCGGCCTTATTATATGAGAAACACGGTATGTATTTATTTTTATTTGATTTAGAGGCTATCAAACTCCGAAGGGTTCTGAGTGGCTTATCCTTTGAAAGCAAGAAAGTATAAAATAAATCATTATCTATATGATCTGTATTTAATTGAAACAGACATTGTTTACACTTTTTCTCTTTTTTAGTTAGTCTTTCTCCCCCCTCCCCATTTTTCACCTATTATACATACATTGATGACTTTTATTACTTTACAACCATCATTCTCTCTCTCCCTCTCCCCCCCTCTTTCTCTCTCTGTCTTGTTTTTGTATTTCATTGTTAAACTTTTGATTGACTGATCATGTGCAATCAGCTCATTATTGACAGATTTTTCTCCATGTCAATCTATCCATAATTTGGCCTTTTGGGTCTTCAAGGAGTGCCCTCATTGCAATTGTAATTGAGTCCATGTGTCTTGCTGCTGATGAGCCATTGGTTTGTTTTCTCAGCTATCCATAGTACCCTGAAGAGTCTCCTCTAACAGCGAAGTTCAAAGGCACCATTATTCTTCCTATCCTGCTTATTTAAAGTCCAACTTTCACTTCTGTAGAGTGCCATAGGAAATGCCATGGCTTTGTCCAATTCTAAATACATCAGAGCCTTTAGGGCTTCTCTAACCAAGTGCTTATGTGCAATGTATTTCTTGACCGCTTGCTCCTTTACTGTTGATGGTTGATGCTAAAAAGGCAGATCTCCACCACTTGGACATTTACATTATCAATTCTAAGATTAATTGTTCTACACAGTCATCATTTTTTGTTCATTATATTTAATTTTAGTCCTACTATTTCCTTCTGATCTTTGACTTTTAGTTCTAGGGCATACAGATCCTTTGCATTTTCAGCTATTGGTAGTATCATCAGCATAATACAAGGTTTCTTCCTCTGATTTTAAAACATGCTCATTTTCTTCCAAGCCAGCTTCCCGTAAAATATATTCAGCAGATAGTCTGAATTAAAAGCAGGGAATATACAGCCCTGTGACACTCCTTTCCCAACCTGGCGCTGGTCTGTTTTTTCATGAGGACAATCAGATGTTCTGGGATTCCCAGGATTTTCTGAGCATATTCTAGAACTAGACATGATTGACACAATCAAAGGCCTTTCTAAAATCAATGAAACACAGTGACTTATTTTTATATATATTCTCTGGCTTTCTCAATTATCCAGCATGCATTAGCATTAATGTGTTCCTTGGCCTTTTCTAAAGCCATCTTGAACATCTGGCATCTCTTTTTCCATGTAGGGCTCTAATCTGTGTTGGATGATGCTAAGCGTTATTTTGCTAGCATGTGAAATGAAGCATATTGTATAATAGTTTGCACATTCTGTTAAATCCCCTCTTTTTGTATGTGTGTATGTGTGAGTATAGATTGACCTCTTCCAATTGGTTGTCCATTATGTCATTCTCCAGATTTGTTGGCGTTGCTTGGAGAATTTGGTGGGAGCCACATGCTTAAAAGGTGGTTCATGAATATGTTTGACATATAATTTAAGTGAATGAAATATAAATTCAACTAGCCTGCTTGCATATGTCCTGTCATGTAAAAATCATGATCTATCACAGACTTGGAGGAAGATCTGCTTTCTGGACTTAAGGTTGTATGCTACCCACTCACATATTCCATTAAGATAATGCATGGTGTCTGGATCATAAATAGGAGGTTCTGCTCTCTGGCAAATCTTTCAGATAAGGAAGAGAGTTAAACATTTTCTGTATCTCTTGGCTGCCATCTAGTGGTCACCTGTATTTTTGCAGCACTATTATAGTATGCTTATTGTCTCAGTCCTCCACAAGCAGAAAGGAGGGCAATCTTGGCATCCTGGTGACCATTTGGCGGTCAATAGGTTCTTTGGATTTGAAGACAGTAAGTTCAAGCCAGTATGAAATGTCAAAGAGGAATGTATTGTATTAATATTAAGAAAGTTAGCAATTATTACAATCATGGCCCCTTCCACATGCCAGGAACCCCCAAAATGGCAGCAGATGACCACATAATGCTGCCAGTTATGCAACACTCTCCCAGGACTTTTGAGTTCTGTCAGGGCACTTTTGCCACTTTGCTTAAGAGACAGGGAGTATAAGCAATAACTGGGGACTGCTTAGTAGCAGCTGCTTATCAGGGACTTGATCATCACTTTAGGCTGTGGAATCTCTGCCAAGGATATTTTTGGGGAAAGATTTTTAGCAGATACTACATGGGGATTGCATGACGACTTACAGAACCTGGTCAGTATTTTGAGAAATGATATTTTGCTTATCTGGTGTATAATTTTTTCATTAAGGATTTTGATTACAGTCTAAATCAAATTACTTTATATTTCTTCATTTTACATCTAACGGTCTTTAGTTCATTCAAAAATTCTCATAGGCTTTGATTTCTTTTCAATTCTTTATTCCAGACTTCTTCAAGGGTTTAACAAGCCTCTTTTGCAGATCCAGTAAGAAACCATTTTCCAAGCCACTCTCTTGATTTGTCATTTGAGTTTCTCCTTTAATTTTTAAAACTTCAACTTCAACCTTTCTTTTCTATATCCAATGAAGCACCCTTTTCCAAATCATTCTCTTGATCTCGTATTTGTGCTTTCACTTTTGATATTTTCTTTGTTTTGTCAGACAATATTTGCTCAATACCTGTCACTCCCTCATAGACATCTTTTGGACATAATCAATAGAGAGAATATCACACCTCATTATTGATGCTATTGATAGTGTAGCTACTAATTTCTGGCTCCATTCCTCAAACATCTTTAATATTTTCAATGTTATGTTTTGTATCATTTTATAACTTCCACTTAACTAACACCAAAAGCAGCCTTGTATTTTTTCCCTTCTTCTTAGAATCTTTGCTCCCTTCTTATATCCAGTTTCTAAAACTATAACGTTGTTTATCTTTGTTTTGAACCAAGGTAGACAAAATAACTCTGGTTTCCACAAGAAGTTATTTATTTTTTATAGTTAGTTCCCAAATCCTTTTTTAACTGAACTCTTAATTCACTTGTAAATTTCATAGATCAAAATCTTCTTTAGCTTTTTGCTGTTTATTTCAAATTATTTAAGTTTTTAAGCTTGTAATTAATTTTTCTTTTGTTCAGTGTTGAAGATAAACTTCTCCTAATTGCTTTTGCCCTACATATTGAATGCTACAATAAACCATACTGACTTTTCCAGATGATTTTTATTTTTTTCTGCCAGGAACTCATTGCAGCTGTCAGTTGTCCAGGTGAAAAGGTGCATTTGGCGAAGATGGTTTTAAACAGCATTTCTGTTGCCTTTGTTCTTTACCTGGGTGAGTTTATCACAAGATATATTTGTGGCACAATGGAATTGTCATTTGATCTCTTATTTTCCTGTCTTCAGCCTAACAGCCTTTTTCATTTCTTTTCATAACTTTTGCTGGTTGGGGGGGGGGGGGGGAGGAAGCCCAACAGGTGATTCTTAGCAGTTCATCAGCATACATACTGAGATGTACTCATGAATGGCCAGCATGAATTATCTGTGTAGAAGTTTTAAAGCTAAGGTGGGAGACCCGTGGTCATAAGATACAGTGACCATACATCTTTTAATGTAAAAAGGACTGTCCTTTATGTTTACTTAATTATTTATTGGTTTTTCTCTTGAATTTTCCTTTGTAAAGTTATAAACACTATTTTGTCTTCATGAATCTGTTTCATATTTGCTTCTTTTCCAAGTTTATCCTTTTTCCCCCTGTGAAAGGATCATGACACCAACATATAACCCTCAATATAAGCATAAGTAAAGTAATTACTTCCGAGGCAGGAAGAGAAAGAAGTGACCAGAGGGAAGAATGTGAATCTACTCATTACTGGCTTTGGCCAATGCAGGTTTAGCTTTAAATGTTCTAAATCTTTGTCTAAAAAGAAGCCTGAATATCAGCTGAATACCCCTGATATTCTGGAACAGAAATAAACTCATATTCAAAAGTAACCCAATGCAGAATGCAGAAACATAAAACAGTTGTAAAAACCCCAAGTTTTTTTTTGACCAAACACTAAATCCAATGGTTTAGCCATCAGTTAAAACTCACTTGTTGGTGTCCCCTTAAGTTAAACTTCAAATTTGCTTGGGATTGCATGAGAGTCTGTGTGGATTTTTTTTTTTTTTAGTCCAATAAACGCTGCCTACTATAGGGGACAGCGCTCATTTCAAGACCATTGAGCTAGCATTGTCCAAGCACGTTTCCACAGTCATGTGACCAGCATGACATCACAGAGTGCTGTTACCTTCCCAACAAAGTGGTACCTATTTATCCACTCACATTTGCATGATTTTGGAACTGCTAGTCTCAAAGGTGCTTTTTTCAGGAGGCAACTGCACTTTCTTGTTTTTTCTTTAGAAGACGTTTCGCTTCTCATGCAAGAAGTGAAACGCCTACAAAAGAAAAAACCAGAAAGTCCAGTTGCCTCCTGAATAAAAGCACCTTTGGGATAACCATGACCTGGATGACTGAGAATCTCTACGAACTGCTAGGTTGACAGGAGCTAGATTGGCAGGAGATGGGAGCTCACCCCATCACGCAATGCTCAGGTCTCAAACCTGGGCCAACAAGCCCAATGTCTTAAACACTAAGCTAGGTTCTTAGAGCAGACACTATGATATGATATGGTTTATGGGCTCATGCCTACTCTGAACCACCTCTGCGACTTCAGATTCAAAATGCAGCACATTTTAATCTTTTTCTATGGCCTTGCTGTGAAAAAGGTCAATTGAGAAGTGGGGCTAATCTTTTTGGGTACATAGATATCTATGTTCACAGTGAAGAACACACTTTTTACATTACTACATCGCCACTAAATCCAATTAACCTCCTTTGGCTTAAAAATCTAGACATAACCATATTTTATGATAGCTTATAAAAATAATGATGTACACATTTCTCTTCCTTGTCTGGAGACTGATCAATTTATTCTTCATTTCTCCCTGACCTTGCTTCAAAACGAATGCCTTGTACAGTGACATTTTTTTTTTTTTGCGAATTAGAGACTTTCTGAAAACTCCAGAGTAAATCAGCAGTCACTTAAAATGTAAATAGATATGTTAAAATGTAATGGGTTACATAAAATAAAAGGCCAATATAATGACTGAGTACAGTAACCCAGATTACACACTTCAGGCTCGGAAACATCCATCATTCAGTGTTGATGAAATCTTGTTTGTTTCTCATTGTTGATTTTCTTTATACTTCCATTTTTTGATCTTCCAGCTCTTCTAGGGGCAACTTTTTTTACAAGGGCTGAAAAGCTAAATGTTGCTGCTGGCACACCTGTCTTCCTTCGCTGTCGAAGTAAAACTGACAATGATTCACCCACAATAATCTGGAAATATAATGGAAAACTTCTGTTAAAGAAAATGAATGACATTATATTTAAAGGTACAACTGGTCAAACCATCCACATATAGCCAATAAAAAGAGATATGAGTCTTTGTGTTTAAGATTTAATTTCACCCCGTTCTGTTTTCTTCAAAGGTGAAAGGACTGTATCATACATGTTGAAGGATGAGAAGACTTTTTCTCTAGAACTGCGAAAAGCAGAACCAGGGCAATACGCCTGTTATGAGGATAATACGCAGGTGGCTACTTATGATATTGAAGTGTGGAAAGGTGAATGATGGAACAGAGATCATAAAATCTGCCTCTTTGTCTCTTGTCTATCTCTTCTTCTCCCTGCTATTGAATGAGTAATTAAATAAATTATCCTTGGGAAGAGGCATGGAAGGGAACATTTACCAGTAGGCCTTCTTTCTTTCACAGTTACTGGATCTAAAAGCGGATACCTCCTGCAAGGTGACACTTTAAAGCTGCACCTGTCTCCTGTCAAAGATGCCAGGATTGAGTGGTTTGAACCCCGCAAGACCAAAGTAACAGGGAATGAGCCACGATGGAAACTGGAAAAGGATAGCTTACAGATATTAAACCTTACAGTTCAGGAGGATAATGGGATATGGGAATGTCACATCTTTCCTTATAAGGTCCACGTCTCCTACAATGTCAATGTATTAGGTAAGAGAAGTCACTAAATTTGGTTCAAAGAGCCTGAAACTTAGGTTCTGTCGAAGTCTTTCCTCATACAAAGTTCAGCATCAACCATAATTTGCTCTGCTAACTGCTTCCAATATCACTGCATTGTGCCAAGATATGGTTACTTCATCACAGAGTCTTTTTTGGAATTTACATCTTATGTAAACTCACATTTATATCACAGATAGGATAGAATGCTATTGTTCTCTATTCACTACAGCCCATTGTCTATTGTGATTTTATCAGATATATATTTTTTGTCAAAATGTTGCAGTAAAAACTTCAGAACCTCTTTTTCCAGTGTGCCCAAGCAAAATTATTGTTACGCTTCTCCGTGGTCCTTGTGGTATCCTTAAAACAATGAGGGAGCTTGAACTGGAAATGTGTTAATTTTTTAAAACAATTTCCCTGTGCTTTATTTTGATGACTTTTCCATCCCTCTTGGCTGGAGAAGTAGTTGCTCAGGATCTAGTCAGTTTCACCACTCCAGTCTAGAGGATCTTGCTACTTCACGATCACGGCATGGTCTGCTTTTCCTTTCTTTGGAGCTGTTTCTGCCCTTGTGGCTTCCCATCTTCCCATTGTTAACTTGGGAAATCCCCCAATGGAGTGTGAGAAGGGGGAAGATGAGCTAGACCTGAAGACACCAGAAGTCAGATCCTCCCCATTCCTTCTGCAGTACCCAGACTCATGGAAGTTTCCCTATGAGCTGACGACTTGCTAAAATGGGCTGGCTGCAACCCAAGATGAGGAAAACAATTACTTTGCCTATAGTGAGTGTCACATTCACAAAACAAGAAAACCCCTTTCAGCAGTAACCTGAATCAGCCACAGAGTAGGGATTAGCTCAGAGGGAAGCAAATGTTTTTTGACATCTCAAGGTTAGCACTTTAACTCACTACTGTAGAGGGGAAAGGGCCATAGTCTTTTTCTGCAGTGAAAAAGCAGCAATGCACACAGTTCTGATCATATGTTATTTTCTATTTTGGTTGGACATAAAACCAGGTTTTTCCAATCCACTGGATGAGTTCCAGTTTGCCACTTTCAACAGCAGCAGCATCCTTTCCTGTCCTTTGAACATTGACCCGGAAGGAAAAAGTGATCAGGAGATTCCACAAATCCAGTCTTCGAAATGGCTTAAGAATAATATTCACATGAAGGAGCATAACAACACCAATCGCTCCATCTATCAAATATCCAATATCCATTCTGAAGATGCTGGACAGTACCAATGCCATATTGGATTTAAACATCGAATTTTGATTAAAACCATCAACCTAATAGTTGTGAAAGGTAGGAATAAGTCTTGATCTGTTTGATGGTAACATGCAATTTCAGCTTACTCTATTCATTATAGGTGCTATTGCCTTTGAATACCAACACAGCCATTTTTTTTTAAACAAATTTTATTAATTTTTAAAAGCATACAAAACATACAAGATAAACATAAAACCTTTTTTCTAAAAATTTCTAAAAATTATTTGAAAGTTTTACAACATTAACACATTTCCTTACAATCACATATTTTCCCTTTCTAACTTGCTTTATTTTCTTCTATCTTTATCTCCATTGTCCTTTTCTAACCTTTCTCCAAGGTTTTATTAACTCATTCAAACATAAACACATAAGAACACAAAACATATAAACATTAAAAAAAAAAAAATCTTTTCTGAAAGTTGCTTAATCCCGGGTCAAAACTCTTTGTACAGACACCAACTCAAATTCATATTCATTTTATATGCCATTCCATATCAATATTACCATTTTCAATTTTTTATATAGCTTCTTCTCTCTCTTAGATTCTCTTAATTTTATTTTATTTATCTCATCTCAATTCAAATCATAATATTTATTATTCTTTGTCTGTTTATTTCCAGCTATCGATTTATTTTTATTTATTTATTTATTTATTTGATTTGCCAATTGTTTACAAGATAATAAGTATAAGTGTATACATAGTTGTGAATACATGAAATGGGTACATATAAGAAAAATAAAAGAAGAATAAGAGAAACAATAGGACAGGGACGGTAGGCACGTTGGTGCGCTTATGCACGCCCCCTACAGACCTCTTAGGAAAGGGGTGAGGTCAATCGTAGACAATCTAAGGTTAAAGTTTTTGGGGTTTGGGGAAGAAACTACAGAGTCGGGTAGAGTATTCCAGACATTGACCACTCTATTGCTGAAGTCGTATTTCCTGCAATCAAGTTTGGTGCGGTTAACATTGAGTTTGTATCTATTGTGTGCTCTTGTGTTGTTATGGTTGAAGCTGAAGTATTCATTGACAGGTAGGACATTGCAATGTATGATTTTATATACCATGCTTAAATCAGACCGAAGACGGCGTAATTCAAGGTTTTCTAGTTCTAGAATTTCAAGTCTGGTGGCATAAGGTATTCTACAACGAGTAGAGGAGTGGAGAACTCTTCTTGTGAAATATTTCTGTACTTTCTCAATTGTGCTAATATCAGATATGTAATGTGGGTTCCAGACTGATGAACTGTATTCGAGTATTGGTCTAGCAAATGTTTTTGTATGCTCTGGTTAGTAGTGTGATATTACCAGAGAAAAAGCTACGTAGGATTAGATTAACAACTCTTAATGCCTTTTTGGCTATGTAGTTGCAGTGGGCTCTAGCACTTAGATCATTAGAGGTGAGTATTCCAAGGTCCTTTACAGAGCTTGGGTCATCAACAAGATCTTGACTATTCAGCTTGTATTTTATTTTCTGATTTTTTTTGCCAATATGTAAGACAGAGCATTTATTTGTTGAGATTTGAAGTTGCCATTTGTTTGACCATTCTGATACATAGTCGAGATCTTTTTGTAGGGTAGCAGTATTGTCTGTGGTATTGAACAGCTTTACATCATCAGCGAAAAGAACGCAATTGCTCTTAATATGATCACAGAGGTCATTTATGTAGAGTATGAAGAGAGTTGGTCCTAGAACACTGCCTTGGGGGACACCACTATTGACAGGTACAGAATTTGATAGGACGCTCCCAATTTTGACCATTTGTTGTTTGTTTGCCAGGAATGCTTCTATCCAGTTATTCAGTTGTCCAGAGATACCATAGGATTTTATTTTTAGGAGTAGCTTGTCATGTACCACTGAATCAAAGGCTTTACAGAAGTCTATGTATGTAGAAGTCTATGTATGTAGAAAGATTTATCTTTCTTCTTTAAAAAAAAAAAGCTTCTCCTGTACACTAATTGGAGTATGACGCCTTTACCTCTTTCCCCTACATTTATAATATTTAATATAAAATACCTAACTTACATTGGGATTCTATTTGGTACATTCTAAAATTATACAATATTATCAATACCAATGCTAATCTATTCCTTAATATTCATATTCTTTTATATCATAAACACTTAGCACATTACTTTTCAATTAATTAACATACTTTTGTGGGAGCACCTACTTTCCATAATTATTCCCCCCCATGTCACATATTTTAAATCATTATTTCATTAAGGTATTCCTGCTTCTCCTACTTCAAATCTCTCCTTTCAAAAAAAAAAATTTCCACTGAAATAACACAATCTAATTAATATTGACATTCATTTATATCTTTCTCTCCAACTCCTTTATATCTTAACCATTTTATCCATTTCAATTAAATAACATGCCTTTTGGGAATACTTATATTTTCCACAATTATTCCCCCCCCCCCCCCCCCCCC